AGTATGAGAACAGTTTATTCATAAAACTAGATTTTGTTTTTTGCCAAAGGTACTTACGCTAAATAAGTTCGTTGTACACAATAGCTTTTTCCACGGGCAAGTTTTCAACACCCTTTAAGGGCTTGCTTTTTCCACGAGAGATCGCATTAACGAAACAGGTTTCAACGAACCCAATTTTCTGGCGCCGTACTATCGTCCTCCTTAAAAGTCTCGGGAGATGGACCCTTATTGTTTTGCCCGGAACTGCGCTAACATTTCGAATCGTTTTTGTGCTAATCTTGTGCTTTCCCTCCGCGAGATCGGACATCCTCTCCCGTGTAAGCATTGTCTACAAGCAAATTATAATTTATCCTACCTCTAATCGTTATAATGTGTAATTTCATTAAAGTGTATCTTATACGGGTACATTTTACGTGGTATTCTAAATAACATTCCTTAATTTGCTTTCTGTGTTTCTCTCATATTTATACAGTTAATTATTATTTTCAAAAGGATATCTTACTAATTACGAAATTCCATTGTTAAACTGTATTCCTTTTTAAGTGTTTATACATGTTTATTCATTAATAACAAATTTCATTTATAATCAAGACTTTAACGACTTCATTGCAATTATTCGAGTCCGTAGTTTCTTTTTCTAAATGAATAGAAATACTAAACTCTTTCCGAAGAATTGACAGAAAATACGTAGTATTTTAATAATTTTTTTATATCATATTACTCATATTTTATGCATCAGTTCTTGTTCCAGTTTTATGAAGCTAGTTAGATTAACGCTATAGCGTCCAATATGGCGACGCCATATGGGGTCGTCAGCTAGCCGTGCTTAACGTCTTATAACACCGTGTAGCGTCATAGCTGTCGCGCTGGTTTAAACAAATATAATCTTGGCTTTTTTTATTCCCGCTTTAAAGAGTTTTAATACTTCATTCTCTTTCTTCTTGATCAATGAAGGAGGATAATATTAGGTACCTTTATATGGTGCATAGAAAAAGTTCGAACTTTGTACATAACGAACTTTCGTGAGAAAATATTCCTTCCTTTTCTGCATAGGAACACTTGATTGCACACTCTTTACAACGATAATATTTTATGCGTGCTGTCTACCAAAGTTTAATCGACATCGTAAAGAGATCAGTAGGGTGTTCAAAGAAGTAATCGTAGAAAAAGATTGCAGTTCTTAAAGTGTTGAAGAGAGTTTCTTTTTATTTCAGATCACAATTGCTGATATTCATCGCGTTCTGCGTAACGTACGTCGCAGCGGACTTCTTCGGCGAGAAGAAAGGTAAGTGTCAGTTCATTCAACGGTAATGGTCCAACTCGCGGTGGTGATTCAGAGATTCGAGGACCATTTGTCCCTCTTTGCCCTTCCAGACGTCGCCCACTGTGACGATTCTGGCTACGAAATTCTCAGGAGAGTCCTCCATCCGTCGAGGACTTCTCGAGAATATTCAGCAGGTTTTTTACCAATCTTTTCCACGAAGTTCCACCCTCATTCGCGTTAAAGCAGGGCATAAATACTCGCGGGAAGCGCGACAAATTTTTTCATTATGTTAGGTCATCCCGTAAATAACGTCGTTTTCTTTTATACTATCTTCTAGCACGAAAGATTAATATTTCAGTTTCTTTTTAATCATTGACGTATTGACCATTGTCGCCTATGATCATTTCCCGTTTTTTGATTAATTTTTTAATGCCATTTTGTAAATGTTATTTTATAAATAAAATTAGATAAAATTTCCAAAATAAGAGAAGAAACAACATTGTTTATAGGATGGCCTAATATTTTTACAGTGGTATTTTGAACTAATCATAGATAACCCATGAAGACGAACAGTTGAACGTTCGGTAATTAGAAAAGTATTCGAAGTCACGTTTATAATCATTCGAATATCTGGTCAATCTCATAACTATTTAAATAGCTTTTCATTGCAATTGTTATGAAAGTAATAGTATAAACATTAAATTCATACAGAAGTTCTAATTATATTTTTTGTTTATTATAAAAGGGTATTTGTGAGGGTATTTATAAACAACAGTTTCTATCTGCCCGAAATTAAGATTATGGTTTTTTGATGATTACATTTGATCATTGGCGTTCTTTGTTATCTAACTTCCATGGTTGTTACAGAAACTGAACGGTTACAACGGATTCGGGCTATAAACGTTTTCTATTCCATATCGATGGGGTCCTCGAATTCACTTATTGCGCGAATTTTTCACCGTCTAATGTGGAAAGCGCAGTGATTCTTTCCCGACGCGTGGACTTCTTTCTTATTTAAGGGTGATCAGACGGAAAACTAAATCGACCGACCGGATTCGATGAACTGTCTCATCGAAAAGGATGTGATGGAGTGTCATTTCATTTTTTCACATAAAATTTTTGAATTTTCGTTACACTGCCCCCCGTTTACTTCGTACAAAAATTTTTTGAATAAATTCAAGGGATGATATTCATATTAACCCATACATTGAATAAATCAAATTTTGTGGAGTATATGAGATGTAAAAAAATTAAGAGAGTAATCATAGTGAAAAATCTTGACTTTCCAGTTATCATTAAGACACTAAATGAGTTTTTGATAAGCACTGATTTAGCAGTCAATGTGTCAAGAGTGTGTTGTTGCCACTATAAAATTGTAATTTTTGCCACACCAATACAAAATATACATTTACATAATTCAATCATAAAGAAATAAATAAAATGTGCGATTTTATCCAGTGATTTTTAAAAAACGAAACTAAATAGAATTTTATGTGCCAGAAGATGTACCTATCAAACGTGTATAGTTAAATTTGATTGAAGTCTGAATTTCACCAGATTCTAGGATCAAATGTAGAAATTTACTACGAATTCGAAAAGTTCATTATTTAAATACAACCTTCTCTTTACACATTGAAAAAGCCTTCTCCAGTTTAGATTCAAAATTACTCCACCATTAGTTCCCGAGGCGGGAAATATAAGTAAACACTATAACCGTATCCATTAAAACACACAGCAGATGTAACATTTCGGAGTTTTACGGCACAGCTCGGCGAACTCGACGAAAACAATAAAAATCTCGTGTCGATTTTACAGCGTGTTGTGCTTAAATCAATTACTTAATAAAGATCGACGTAATTGCCCTTTTCCCCGTTGTAGCTTAAACAGCGCGCGTCTTCTCTGTAATAAAAACCGTGGACCGTTGTGTAATTTTATCAGGGTACATTTCGTCGTTTGCATTTTTAAACTCGGCGCATCAAGAACGCCTTCTTACTAGACGTCGGAGTCGGACGCGAGAATTTGCCGAAGCACGCGAAGCTGTTCTTTAAACTGTTTGCGTAATGTCGTAAGAATTTTACAACGAATTCAGGAGAATTCTTCATAAAATAGAACGGTATAGTTTTCAGAGTACGCAGTGACGTTTATTATCCGTGAAATTTCCGTTGATTATGCAGCGGACGGAAAATCGCGATGGTGCTGTTCTTGTAATAATTTCGCTTTCTGCGTGGAAATATTATTTTTTTTCCCCCGGCGAGAAGAACGATATTGAAAATAACGGGCGGCAACGTGTAATTCCGGGGAGTAGAAGCCGGAGATTCATAAAGAGGAGTTTAATAAAAATCTTTCTTGAGCCGCAGTTACAAAGTCCTAATGTCTTGAAATGGCTTTATGATCATCAGCATATCTTTATTTCCTCCTTTAAGGATTTCATAACCCAAGGAGTCGTCTCTCGGATTTATCAGATATTTCATTCCGCTAGCCGTTTTTCTACAAAGTATAATCTCGTTTCCTTCGTTCCACGTTATTCCGATCACTCGTCACGAAGTCAGGAAAACTGGCGATAAAAATGTTTCGTCAAAGCAAGCTTAAAGCTTCAAAGGATTTACGTGAATTATTATAAGAGCAACGGCGTCGATCACCGTAATCCTTTCATATTCCGAGTAAAATAAGTCTTCTTATCAACAATTAATATATTACCTATATGTGCTCATGTACGCAATATAATAAACCAAATGAACCAATCTTCAGAATGAATTTGTATTTTCTCGATGTATATACTTCCGTGTTGCAATTATTCATTCTATTATTTCTGTTGCATTGGGGAATGCATAAAGTAGTCTTTCTCTCTTCTTCACTCGTATTGTCATCTTTTACGTCCGCCATGCTGAAGTTTTCGTTCCTTGGGGCGGATTCGATTCTACCTTTTCATAATTGCAACCTTTCGGTCCCGTTGAGTTCATCAATCATGCAATCATCTAATTTTCACTGTACACGACACGATATAAATAAAAGAAATTGAGATCATTCAGCTGGCGGGTGTGGAAAGAAATTCTTTACGTTATGGAAGACAATTCGAGATCAATAATATGCGATCGGGGAGTGCAAGGACATCGTGCTAGTCGAAAGGGCGAAAGATTCAGCCGTTTGGTGAGTTTCCGGTTCCCTTATCAGTGGCGGATGCAAAGAGGAAATGTCGGCTGCGCTACTGGTGGATTACAGCATAGGAAAACGGGGTGGAAAGGGACGAATAGCTCCCGCAGGATGCGAGATAACTCTCATCCCCGTAGCCTCATTTGTATCCACCCCCTTCTTCCGATTTCCGCGGTGAACGGCTACTTTTTGCGACGTTGCATCGTCAATATTTAATAGCAGGTCATGGGTCACTCGTGATTGCCGATATTGAAACTGAAATTTCATTTATTTCGATTTACGGCGCGAAGCTTCGTGTTACAGAAAGTAGGCAATTGAAAGCGATGTAACTAATTGACAGATTTACATCGAACTATTTGAGAATTCGTTCGAGAAAGTGAAAACTTTTGAACCATCGCGAAGAGAGACAGTTTACTGTTTCTATAAAACGATCTTATATTTATTCGAAATTAAATGGAATAGTTTTTCGAAAGTGTGTTCGTTTCACAGGAATGGTAAACTGTTTTATTTTGTTCGCAGTTGTTGACAATTTCATGAACATATTATTATTACATGGATGCTCCTGTGAGTTTAAATTTAAATAGGTATTAAATGAATTTGTTATAAATGTTAATGAGAACAGAGTGAATATTGTTCCGTGGTTTGTGATATAATACTTAACAATTTTACATAATCTGCGTAGATCTCGATAATTTGTTATTAAACGTTTAAACGAAATCACCGTTTGAATTTGGAAACTAAATGTTTAATTTAATTATGAATTTAACTTATGTGATTTGGAGATATATTTTTCAATTTACTACGTTTGAACTTTTCGTTTTTAGTTCCTGAGTACGGTTCTAACTTCAGTTATTTTAAAAAGGAAATAGGATGGATTTACCAATGCAGCGTAATCCATTTTAATTTACAAACTGCTCGACAGAGAATTACGTGCGCTGCAGGGTAATCGACATATCTTGATGCGATTTAGTAACGGCACAGATAGAAATTTATTGGGATTGGTTTAATTATGTGTCAAGTGAACATTTCAGCGGAACGATACAACATGGGTACGAAGTAGATAAATTGCCGTGGAAGTATCGTCAGAACTGATTTATTGCCACGAGAATTTGATTGACTGGCACATAAACAAGCGCCCGGGCGTATTTTATAGTTCCCAGTTGTGTATAGTTAGTTGCTGCGAAGGTGGCCGACACTTCCGCGGACGATAGACTGCCTTCAGCTGGAATGGACTTCTTTGTAGTGATTTACAAGAACGTGCCTGAACTCAGGCGCATTTCTTTCGAAAAAGAACATATCAATATCGAGTACGTTGATTTTAATGAGAATTAAATGAAAGATGACTCTTTCAAGATCTTAACGTAAATATTTTTTTGTCAGCTAATTTTCATATTGAAGTGGTGAGCATCGTTAATTGGTAGTATTGCTATAACTAGTCTGCGGATATTTATGCACCTATGGAAAATTTTTAAAAGTGTGTAAATGCATAGAATGCATTTGACATGAAAGAGTATACAAATATATACTTTTTGTAATGTTTGATAGAAAAAATCGTTTTCTATCGATTGTTTTCTATGAATTGTTTTTTAATTGCATTCATAAAAAATTGAATTTGCATGAAAATCTACAGTCAATTACCGGTATCGTAAGTATGTATTGTCAGTGCAAGCAGCACTTGAAGCTGATGGTTAGAAGTAATATTTTCTTCGTATACTTTAAAAATGTATTACTATATTATTTCTGTTGGAATTGAATCGAAGAAAGAAAATAGCAGAATGTATCATGGCAATTCTTATTCTTTCAGTATGTTCAGATGATTCTTTTTTTCCATTACTAATCTCGTCGAAAAAGATTGAAAGAAACTCGTGGAA